GGTATTTAGAAGAGCTATAACCATACTCGGGCCATACGGCGGCTTTTAAAAAAAAAAATCTATATTTATCTATGTGAATAAAGCCGGTCACATGACCTGCCTCTCCTCCAATTACATCCTGCGTTAAGCAGAAAGAACGCCATGGGACACTGCAGGCGCCTCATTGAGCCAAATCACCCCGATTTTTATGAATGGCTCTCGATCTTGTATATGAATGATGCATTTTGGGTATATTGGGGACTGAAGAGGAGGTCACATGATGTCTCCATATTGTTGGGGTGAAGCAGCGCCAAACCCGCTCCATTGCCTTCTGCGGATCGCCTGACTGTCCCCGTGAAACACAAACTGCAGCCACCAATGGCACAGAAGGTTCTTCTCTCTGATCCGATCTCTTTGTGTCTCAGCTTGGCCCGCGTCGGGAAGGTGGGTCCGATGATCGGCCAGTACGTGGATTCCCAGTGGAGCCTCGCCAGTTTCACGGTACCCGCGGAATCCGCCTGCATCTGCGCCTTCGGGAAGAACACCTCCAAAAACGTCAACTCCGTGATCGGTGAGCGCACTCCCTCTCCTCCTCAACCTTACCGGATAAGAAGGGGGATGGGGAACCGTACACGGGCCAGCCAATCAGAAATGACGTAGTTGGGGAGTCAGACGAATGTTAGATGTTGTGGTGGGTTACGGAGCTCTGACTTGTCATGTGATCCCGGATTCATGCTCCCTCGTCACTAGGTAAGGGGGGAGCATGCAGCCGGCTTTTTGGCTAATCAGGAAGCGGGTGCAGCGAGTAATTACACAGCGCCCGGCCTCCTGATTGGCCGAGAGGCCGGCTCCATGCTCTCTTGTCATGAGGTGACGAGGGAGCATGAAGCGGGCTTCCTGATTGGCCAATCAGGAAACCGGGCAGCTGGCGCCATGCTCCCTCTTCACTTGTAATGAGAGAGCATGGAGCCGGCTTCCCGGCCAATCAGGAAGCCGGGCGCTGTGTAATGACGCGCTGCCCGGCTTCCTGATACCAGAAGTATCGGGCTAGGCATCGGAGCATTTGGGTGAGTACTCGCCCCAATACTCGGCATCGTTTTCCTTAGGAAGCAGCCACAGCCCGAGTAGAGAGGCCCCTCCCCCGCCAGCGTGCTGCACAGAAGGACCCTCCCTCTCTATAAGGGGGCAGTGGTCTGTCACAGCAATAGTCCTGCAATCAGCAAAGCTCATGCTCCTTACTGATTGGCCAGCTCCAGCTGTGACTCAGCAGGGGGCATGTCAGACCTCTGCAGAGAGACCACTGCTTCCGTACAGAGAGCGAGGGTCCTGGCAGGGGACGGGCCGTTCTTCTCTGGCTGCTCTCTAATCTGGAAGACTTTGCACAACTTTTCTTTGTATTTAGCCGATTTAACCGAAAGCTCCCTCGGGCTTTGAATTCTCTCTCTGGGAGTCGTGGCTGTGAGAATCTTGCAATGCCTCCTGGGATTTGTAGTTCCACCGCAGCTGGAGGGGCGGAGTTTGGCTAACCCTGAGCCGGTTGTAGGTGTGCCAGAGGTCTAACCGTCGTCTCTCCTCCTCAGCCGTCTGTGTGGATGGAACGTTCCACAAGTACGTCTTCTCCCCGGAAGGGAACTGCAACCGCGAGGCCTTCGATGTGTATCTGGACATCGGCGATGATGACGTTTTTTAAGCCCTTTCGGATCCAACCCGAGACAGAAGGACGCGGCGGCCTGTGCGCACATTGGACACTAACGCGTCTTATTGTATATAGATTATATGACGGAACGTATATTTATAATGACTTGAATAGAAAAGTGTAACAGACGCTTCCAATAAAAGAATGGAGTCACACCATACAACCGATCTGCTTACAATGGCACCTGGAAGTGGGGGGAATATATTACAAGGCCCCCTGGAAGGGGGGGGAATATATTACAAGGCCCCCTGGAAGGGGGGGGAATATATTACAAGGCCCCCTGGAAGGGGGGGGAATATATTACAAGGCCCCCTGGAAGGGGGGGGAATATATTACAAGGCCCCCTGGAAGGGGGGGGAATATATTACAAGGCCCCCTGGAAGGGGGGGGAATATATTACAAGGCCCCCTGGAAGGGGGGGGAATATATTACAAGGCCCCCTGGAAGGGGGGGGAATATATTACAAGGCCCCCTGGAAGGGGGGGGAATATATTACAAGGCCCCCTGGAAGGGGGGGGAATATATTACAAGGCCCCCTGGAAGGGGGGGGAATATATTACAAGGCCCCCTGGAAGGGGGGGGAATATATTACAAGGCCCCCTGGAAGGGGGGGGAATATATTACAAGGCCCCCTGGAAGGGGGGGGAATATATTACAAGGCCCCCTGGAAGGGGGGGGAATATATTACAAGGCCCCCTGGAAGGGGGGGGAATATATTACAAGGCCCCCTGGAAGGGGGGGGAATATATTACAAGGCCCCCTGGAAGGGGGGGGAATATATTACAAGGCCCCCTGGAAGGGGGGGGAATATATTACAAGGCCCCCTGGAAGGGGGGGGAATATATTACAAGGCCCCCTGGAAGGGGGGGGAATATATTACAAGGCCCCCTGGAAGGGGGGGGAATATATTACAAGGCCCCCTGGAAGGGGGGGGAATATATTACAAGGCCCCCTGGAAGGGGGGGGAATATATTACAAGGCCCCCTGGAAGGGGGGGGAATATATTACAAGGCCCCCTGGAAGGGGGGGGAATATATTACAAGGCCCCCTGGAAGGGGGGGGAATATATTACAAGGCCCCCTGGAAGGGGGGGGAATATATTACAAGGCCCCCTGGAAGGGGGGGGAATATATTACAAGGCCCCCTGGAAGGGGGGGGAATATATTACAAGGCCCCCTGGAAGGGGGGGGAATATATTACAAGGCCCCCTGGAAGGGGGGGGAATATATTACAAGGCCCCCTGGAAGGGGGGGGAATATATTACAAGGCCCCCTGGAAGGGGGGGGAATATATTACAAGGCCCCCTGGAAGGGGGGGGAATATATTACAAGGCCCCCTGGAAGGGGGGGGAATATATTACAAGGCCCCCTGGAAGGGGGGGGAATATATTACAAGGCCCCCTGGAAGGGGGGGGAATATATTACAAGGCCCCCTGGAAGGGGGGGGAATATATTACAAGGCCCCCTGGAAGGGGGGGGAATATATTACAAGGCCCCCTGGAAGGGGGGGGAATATATTACAAGGCCCCCTGGAAGGGGGGGGAATATATTACAAGGCCCCCTGGAAGGGGGGGGAATATATTACAAGGCCCCCTGGAAGGGGGGGGAATATATTACAAGGCCCCCTGGAAGGGGGGGGAATATATTACAAGGCCCCCTGGAAGGGGGGGGAATATATTACAAGGCCCCCTGGAAGGGGGGGGAATATATTACAAGGCCCCCTGGAAGGGGGGGGAATATATTACAAGGCCCCCTGGAAGGGGGGGGAATATATTACAAGGCCCCCTGGAAGGGGGGGGAATATATTACAATAACCCCTGGAAGTGGGGGGATATCTTACAATGACACCTGGAAGAAGGGGAGGGATATATTACAATGACGCCTGGAAGTGGGGGGGATATATTACAATTACACCTGGAAGTGGGGGAGATGGCACCATGATGCACTGTGGGAAGAAGACAAGCCAGGGGGAGGGGCAGTGTGATGGGCAATGTTCTGTTGGGACACCTCGGGTCCGGCCATTCATGTGGATGTCACGCTGACACATCCCACCGACCTAAACATTGCCCCTGACCAAGTCGCCCCCTTCATGGACACGGCGTTCCCTGATGGCAGAGGCCTCTCTCAGCAGGATAATGCGCCCGGCCACACGGCGCACATGGGGGAAGAATGGTTTGAGGTGATGACTCCGCCTCCAAATTCTCCATCCAATCCACCATCTGTGGGAGGTGCTGGAAGAACAAGATCCATGGAGGCCGATCACCTCACAACTTATAGGATCTGCTACTGACGGCTCGGTGCCAGATACCACAGCACACCTCCGGAGGTCTAGTGGGGTCCATGCCTTGACGGGTCAGGAGAAGAGGGAACTACTCAATATTAGGGGGGGTCATAATGTCATGGCTGGTGTGTGTGTAATACACACGAGCTTTCCCCTCATAGCCTGTCCCTTTGACAAGCGTTTCACCAGACAGGAAGTGAGAGCAGCCACACAGAGATGACAATCAGACGGGTTCTCTCTGTCCCGGTGATCATTGTCATGGAGACAGAAATTGAGGGGAAATCCAAAATTTTAGAGCAAGAGGTGAGGGAAAATCTTCCCACAGGGTCTCCTCTCACTTCCTCTTGCATCTCTGGGACAGGAAGTGAAAAGAATCTCCCCAACTGGATACAGAAGGCCCCCTGCCACACTTTAGACAAATAATTTGGACTATACCGGAGGGGAGGGGGGGAGCCCTCCAGGTGTAGTGACACTACAAATCCCATCATGAATCTGACTCTGGGAGTCATGTCTGTGGCTGTCAGAATCTTGCAATGCCTCGTGGGATTTGTAGTTCCACAACAGCTGGAGGGGCGGAGTTTGCTCCCCCTGGACTAAACACACTTTAAAGCTGAACAGGCAAATAACACATTAAATAAGACTGAAAGAAAGAGGGGAAGACTGAGAGCCAATCGGGAGCTGTAAATGCATTTAGACTGGAAGAGGGAGGGGCAAGACAGAGCCAATCAGGGGAGCTGTAAACGCATTAAGACTGGAAGAGGGAGGGGCAAGAGTGAGAGCCAATCATGGGAGCTGTAAATGCATTTAGACTGGAAGATGGAGGGGCAAGAGTGAGAGCCAATCAGGGGAGCTGTAAATGCATTTAGACTGGAAGAGGGAGGGGCAAGAGTGAGAGCCAATCAGGGGAGCTGTAAACGCATTTAGACTGGAAGAGGGAGGGGCAAGAGTGAGAGCCAATCAGGGGAGCTGTAAATGCATTCAGACTGGAAGAGGGAGGGGCAAGACAGAGCCAATCAGGGGAGCTGTGAACACTTTTTAGCCTGGAAGAGGGAGGGGCAAGAGTGAGAGCCAATCAGGGGAGCTGTAAATGCATTTAGACTGGAAGAGGGAGGGGCAAGACAGAGCCAATCAGGGGAGCTGTGAACACATTTAGCCTGGAAGAGGGAGGGGCAAGAGTGAGAGCCAATCAGGGAAGCTGCATACAGAAGCACTGACTAGGAACATGCTAACGGGAAGAGTCAGAGAGAGAGCAGAGGGATAACCTCTTCAGTCTTCTGCTGCTCTTTCACCCACCGGGATATGACCACTTCAATAAATAATATGGTCAGCGTGGTGTAAGAAATATTTATTTCATATAAAACCTCCCCCC